CTATAGGTGACCAAGGCTGGGTTTTCATTGGTCTGGCAACCTACCGAAGCATCAACGTCCTCTTCTATAGTGAAATTTCCTTTCGAAAGGAGGCAAGCTAAGGTACTTATAATTTCTTAGAATTTATATTTTTGAAATTTCTCACTCACTTCAGGATCTTATCGTGGAATTAGAAGTTTTTGATAAAATGTTCTTGCAACGAAGAGACATGGTACGATTAGTTGGCAGAGTGTCATTGGACCAGGTATACCTTCTAACCGTGATAGAGAACTAGTTTGTGGAATTAATGATGCGAGAACTTGTTCTAACATTTTGCTTATAATGAGCTATTATAATTGAGGAAGAACGCGCTGTAGCAAACATGCATCATCCAGATTGCTCTGTTTACTGCCATCATCTCAACTAGACCATTAAAAATGAGCAAATTTTCTCGATATTCAAGTAATCACTTTCTATTTTAGCTATTACCACCAACAAATTCGAAATCCGCTCATAACGTAGCTGAGGTAGCTTTGAGATCAAGAGGAGCAGAGCCTGAAATGAGTGCGAAAGTCAGCATCACGACAAGGTGGGCTTAAATCTTACCTTTTTCGAAGTTAAGGTTTAGTTTTGTCTTTCAGTGTGACTCTGAACCGGGAGCTTCAGTTGATTAACGAAGAATTCATGGAACATCAGCTACAACCTGATTCGCACTTATCCTATTTGTGTCAATGTGGCGCCTTGAATCGTGGAGGCCTCACAGCGACGACTACCGTACATATTGCTACGCATAGGTAAGGTATACTGAGGTGTACTATATAGGAGAATGTATTCTCAGAAAGTGTGGCGTTGAATTGCGTCAGAACAGCGGCTTTTTTAAGTTGAAAAAATGCAAATTTTGCTATCATTGCGTAACTGATTAATGAACAGGACAGTTACGTAGTAATGGATACTCTGATACATGCTCATGGCGGCAACATTATTACCTATGCCTAAGTCTCTTATTCTTTTTACCTTACTTGGAATGAAGCAAGCCGCATTGAGCAGTAGCTGTGCAGTAAGGCGTTAAATCGTGAATGTTATGTGGATGGATAAGTTTGCTCTGCATTTTCTTTCGATGTAGACTCTTTATCTCATGCTTGATTTGAACGATGTTGAGCTGGAAACAAATTTATTATATAACTAGTGTTTTAAGCTGCAATAATCATCTACCCAAAAGGTCGAATAATTCGCGCATGTTTTGGCGCACCAGATGTATGGGAGTTTTTTTTTTCTAATTTAAAATTTGGAACTGATGGCGTGTTAGCAGGTTTAATACTAACGCTGCGCCGGGGCATTGAAACGGAATAGCTAACGTCTCTGTATTTTTAGTGTTGTGGACACACGTGATGGGGCCAAGTATACAGTACAAGTGGTGCATTCCGCAGCGTTGCTATTGTCGATGATCTTGGTATACGGTAACGAGCAACGGCTGCTTGCCATGGCCCATTTGATTGGCGCAGATTCACTGCCAAGTCGAGATCAACTAGATAGTAATTTGGTGAGCACTTTTGTCGACAAGGATTCTTTAGCATTTTATTTACATTGGAACAAATCGCTTTTC